TAACGAAACGTCAACGAACGACAACAAAACGACGACGAAACGTTAACGAAACGTCAACGAACGACAATGGACGACAACAAAAGATTCACGGACAGCAAAGTATGGTTCACGAACGGTTACGAACGGTTGAAGGACGGCCGAACGGTTCAGGAACGGTTGTCGGACGGTTATCTAAAGGCTCAGGAACGGCTCAGCAACGGCTGCGAACAAATCAGGAACGGCTATCGAACAGGTCAGGAACGGCTACGAACGGCTATCGAACGGCGACGAATGACAGATGACAAAGAACCATTATTGAAAGACGATGAACGGGAATAAACGGTTATTGAATGGTTAAAAAAAGTTAGAGATATAAATTATGATGTAATTTCTTTGCACATATTATTACGCGCCGACCAGCCACACAGCTAAAAACATGACATCGTTAAAATCCGATGGACGTAAAAATATCGAGAAGCTACGACTCGTCGAGGAACTGCATGCTCCGGCGAGAAGAAATTTTCCCCGAAGACGCGGCTTAGTGCGGGGTTACGACGATCTGTGGCAAGCTGACATCGTCGAGATGCGTCCGTACTCTCGTTTCAACAGAGGTTACCACTACATACTCACCGTCATCGATGTGTTGAGCAAGTACGCGTGGGCCGTACCGCTCAAGAGTAAAGGCGGAAGCGAGACGGCTGATGCTATCGCAGAGATAATTCGAGATAGCGAGAGGCACCCGAAAAATATGCAAACCGATATGGGGAAGGAATTTTACAACGCCGACGTGCAACGTCTCGTGAAGAAACACGGCATCAATCATTATTCCACGTATTCGGTGTTGAAGGCATCGGTCGTCGAACGATTCAATCGCACGTTAAAGAACGACATGTGGAAGATGTTTACGCTCAACGGAACTTACAAGTGGGTCGACGCGTTGCCGCGACTCGTGTCGGATTACAACACGCGCAAGCATCGAACGATCGGTATGCGACCCGTCGACGTTACCCCCGCGATCGCCGAAAGACTCTTGGCTACGGTGTACAGCGCGATAAAAATCGCAGGTCCGGCAAAGTTCAAAATAGGTGACTCGGTACGCGTTAGCAAGTACAAGACGATCTTCGAGAAGGGTTACACGCCAAATTGGACCACCGAGGTGTTTAAGATCGTTAAAGTGCAGCGTACTAATCCCGTAACCTATTTACTCGAGGACTATCGCAAAAAATCTGTCGCTGGGGCGTTCTACGAGTACGAGTTGCGTCGCGCGACTTACCCGGACGTGTATCTCGTGGAGAAAGTTCTGCGCAGAAAGGGTGACGAGGTTTACGTGAAATGGTTGGGATTCGATGGATCGCACAACTCTTGGATACACAAGGACAATGTGGTTTAATTCGTACAAACTGTATTTTATTTTTAACATATGAAAAATATAAAATACATATAAAGTATCTGAAATATGTAAAAATATATAAAAGTATAATATGTGTAAGATGTA